CAGGCACCCGGGCGGAAGTGGGACGCGCTGGGCGCTGGGGCCGCGGCGGCCGCACCATGAGCGATATCCGCCACTCGCTGCTGCGCCGCGACGCGCTGAGCGCGGCCAAGGAGGTGCTGTACCACCTGGACATCTACTTCAGCAGCCAGCTGCAGAGCGCACCGCTGCCTATCGTGGACAAGGGCCCCGTGGAGCTGCTGGAGGAGTTCGTGTTCCAGGTGCCCAAGGAGCGCGGTGCGCAGCCCAAGGTGCGGCCAGCAGCGAGCGGACAGGGTGACTGCCAGACGGAGCTCTTTCCCCCTTGGTAACAAGTATCTGCCAAACCGAGAACACTTCATAGGGGCTCCGTACTTGTCTTGAGCCTGGCACCTGCACAGCTCTCAAACCCTCCTCTCAGGAGCTTGGTATTATTGCTCAGCTGTGTGTCTTGTTTTGCTGGGCGTGTGACAGACGTGTCTCGGTGGTCTTACAGGAAAACGCTTATAGGGACAGTCCTCTCACACCACTCAAGGCCTGTTACTGAGAGTCTCAACCCGTTGTGGGCCATCGCGTGCCTTCCAGGATGATATATAATGATGCATGTGACTTTTCTGAGATTAACAGCTGTTCTCCCTGAGACCTGTGCCCAGAAGGGTGAAAAATACCTGGGGGTGGGGGGGGTGTATAATATATTCCGTTTGTTGTACGAATTAATAAGCGTGTTAAAGCCAAGTTTCTTTCTTACCACTTCTCTTGGATTTGTTTTTACAGAGACTGAATTCACTTCAGGAGCTTCAACTTCTTGAAATCATGTGCAATTATTTCCAGGAGCAAACCAAGGACTCTGTCCGGCAGATTATTTTTTCATCCCTTTTCAGCCCTCAAGGAAACAAAGCTGATGACAGCCGGATGAGCTTGTTAGGAAAGCTGGTCTCTATGGCTGTGGCTGTGTGTCGAATCCCAGTTTTGGAGTGTGCAGCCTCCTGGCTCCAGGTACTGCTCTAGAGCTAGCCTACCTTTTGGGGAAGAGTTTACTGTCAGGAATTTTCGTTTGATTGTATTTCTAGATATATTATGTCATTGATCATTACTGCTCTGTACCTGTATAACCGTTTATTTAGTTTTTTTTTTTTTCTTAAACTTACTTTCCTCCATGAGTTGAGAGAAATAATTTTGCACCCCCAACAGAGTCTTTCACATGGTTATCCACCCCCATCTTCAGCCAGCCCCAGGTCATGGGCATGCGTGTGTCCTGCATGTTCAGGGAGACAAACCTAATACCTGCTCAAGTAGACCAGCCTTACAGATGATTGCATTACCAGTGCCCCATCATCCATCTTTTTTTTTTTTTTTTTACTTAAAAGAATTTGTTTCCAGAGGGTATGTGTGCTTGTTGGAGAGAGAGAAAGCCAACACCCACCATGAGGCATGGTCACACCACATCTTCTCTATTTCTCCCTTCTTTTAGGATTTTGGGCAGGCACGTATACATGCTCAGTGTGTTTCTCAAGCTTCCAGGTCTAGGCTTTGAACCATGCAGTCACCCATGTGGGATCCAGCTGGCATAACTGCCACATCACCAACTGACCCCACAATCCCATTTTTTCAAAGATCATGACTTTTTTTCTTCTTCTTTTTTTTTAACCTTCAATCACTATACATCTTTACAGCATACAAAATGCATTTTCCCAGCATGAATACATTGTATATTAGTCCAGCCAAAGATATTACCAGATAATTTTCCATTTTTGTGTTCATTAATTTTTTTAAGGGTTTGCCAGAATGCATGTGTACTTACCAGAAAGAGACAGAGGGAAAATGAGAAATAAACTCCCAAGGGGTGATGGCCACACCGCAATCCCTTCTCCTGCATTCTCCTCTCATAATTTTGGGCATGCATCCACATGCACCTGATGTGATTTTTAGGCCACCAGGTCTGGGATTTGAACCATGTTGGGCCATGTGGGAGTCTAGCACCTTAACCCCCATACCACCTGCTGGCTTGACCATGTCCATTTTTGGTAATAGTAGTTCATAATGGTAAATTATTTTTTTAATGAAGAAAAGGTTCCATTTTCACAAATGAAGAAACTTTTTCTTAGGTGAAAATAATAAGATAGAATTTTGAAAACAGCATGCATGTAGTCTCAAGGATTTTGGTTTTTTAGATCCTCATTATCAAGTCATATAGTGTTTACTTTTCATTAGAAGGTTTTTTCTCTACAGTTAGGTCAGTGTGAGCATATGAGTTGTTTTGCATTGTTCAGTGTGATATCACAAAATTAGTGTGTCTTTTATTAATGAATATAGAATAAGAGCCTTCTAGAGAGTTTTTAATTATCAAAGGAAAAAATGTGTATATGTGTGTTTACAGAAGAATGTGTAAATACATTTAGTGATAAATGGTATTTTGGAGTGTTTTATTTGTGGTTTTTTTTTTTTTGGCTGGAGGATACATGTACTTGCCAGAGAAGGGGGCGGAAGAGAAAATGCTCCCCCCCATGAGGAATGATCACACTGCAATCTGTTCTCCAAATCTTCCTTTCTGGATTTTGTACACATATGCACACTTGTTTCTCGAACCACTGTGTCTAGGACTTGAACAGCAAGGTCAACTGCATGGGATCTGGCTGCCTTAACTTCTAGCCACAGAACTGGCCCAGAAGATTCATTTTGTTTTGCTTTTTTTGCTACTCAGAATCCCTGAAAAATTAATAGTTCACTTATAGTAATTATTAGTTAACTTTTTTCATATCTGTGATATAGTGTGTGCATACATGTGAGATGGAGAGGAACACCCTCCATAGGGTCTGGTCATGCTACGCTCCTTCCTCCATTTCTCTAACTGGTTGGATCCTGGGTGCTCATGCACACACCTGGTACTTCTCAGGCCAGTTTGTACCAGGGATTCAAACCACAGTCACTGTGTGGCTTCAGACATTGCAAATCAGCATGATACGTTATAACTGCAGCCATGGCAAGGCCTAAATTTTTTGACTGAGTTGTTCTCAGCCAAGCTAATGGGATACGCTGTGTTCAGTTTCATAGAGCTGTTTCATTCTCAAGAATGCAGAATCTTTTTTTTTTTTTTTTGGTAATCTTGTTTATAATGGCTAACAAAAATAAATCGTTACTAGTAGTACACAGCAAATCCCATTGGAACCTGTACCTTAATCCTTACCAGTCCAATTTCTGGCATTCACTCATCACGTATATATATTTAACCTCAGGATTACCTTCATCTCTTGACAATCTAGTCAAAACAAGTTTATCTTGAGATCAGCAGGTAGTGTGGTGGTTAAAGCGTTGGACACTCCCACATGGCTGACCACGGTTCAAGTCTTGGACCTGGTGGCTTACTTTCTCACTTTCTCTCTCTTTCTCTGTCTCTCTCTGGTCAAATTAAAATAAAGTAATGAATAAATAAAATTTAAAATAATTCTTTAAAAATAAAAAACAAGTTTATCTCTTATAGTGATGCTATTGTGCTGGTATTTTGGCAAAATGAAATCAGATGTCAATGACAGAGAAGGATCTTAGTGGTTCAGGCCAGCATTTGTAGTGCTGAGGTGAAGGACTGCAGCTTCCAACTGAGAAATGGTAGAGAAATTGATGGTCTTGGGCCGGCAGGTGGCGTAATGGTTAAGGGTGCTGGATTCCCACATGGCCGACCGCAGTTCGATTCCTGGACCTGGCAGCTTGCTTTCTCACTTTCCCTGTCTCTCTCTCTTGCTCTCACTCTGTCCCTCTCTGGTCAAATTAAAATAAGTGAATTAATTAATTAATTGGTAGTCTTAATGGCTAGCTTGGTGTTGTGGGGTAGAATAGTATCTGAATGAGCAATCTGACCTTGCTGTCACCTTATGGTTTTTCCTTCAGGCCAGCCTAGAGCCCTGTAACTATAGCATCCGGAGTAGCTGCTGAATGACTTGTCAATGGAAAGGGAGGGGAGGCAGTAGGACTCAAAAGTGTTTTAGAAACCTATCAAAGAGAACAGGTTGTAAGAGAAATTTAGAAAGTACTATCCTTTTTTTTGGGGGGGGGGAGTTTCTGCTATAGGGCCCATGCGCTCGCCAGAACACAGAGAGACAGAGAGATAGAAAGCGAGAAATCACCCCCCAGGGGGGATGGCCATGCTGCAATCCCTCCTCCTCCATTCTCCTCTTGGGATCTTGGGCATGCACGCACACGCGCCCGGTGTGAGTTTAAGCCACCAGGTCTGGAACTCGAACCGCGGTCGACTACATGGGAGTCCAGTGATAGCCATTACACTAGCTGCTGGTCCCAGAAAGTACTATTCTAAAGAAACATTTTAATTGTGATAGTTCACATACTCTTGTAAATCTCTTCAGGGTGGTAGCAGCTGTTCATTTTTACTTGTGGAGTCTCAACTGGCATCAACTGTAGGGTGACAAAAGTTGTCATTTCTTCACCTGCAGTGAGAAACGATCTTTCCTAAGTAAACTTTAAAGCAAGGGTTGGCAGATGTTTTATGTAAAGGGTGAGGTTGTAAATGTTTTAGGCTTTGCAGGTCACATCGTTTGTCACAGCTACTAAATTCCGCAAGAGCAGCCTTACACAGTAGACACGCAAATGGACATGGCTGTGTCTCAGTAAAACCTTATTCACAGAATGGGTGTTGGGATGGAGTCTTCTTGTTGACACCTACTTCAAAGTAAGATGTTAATGTCCTTTTCCCATGTTGGAAGTGGTTCTGCTAGCTCCAGTGGTCTTCACCATGTATACGAAGTTGCTGGTCTTCTAGCTCACGAAACCTATAGTTACGTGGACTGTGGCTTCTTTCCAGCGGACGCCTGTGGTCTACTGTGTGAGGTTAGCCCGAGCCCTTGTGGATGACTACTGCTGTTTGGTGCCAGGATCTGTTCAGACACTGAAGCAGATATTCAGTGCCAGCCCTCGGTTCTGCTGCCAGTTCATAACCTCCGTCACTGCGCTCTATGACTTGTCATCAGGTAAACTTTAAATTGTTTGTTGCTGTTAAACTTCAGCTGATTGTCAGTTTGGTTTTCCACCGAATACCCAGGTGAAATGTCTGCTGAATACTTTGTTCTTTTTTTCCTCCGAAAAGTATAGAATTACTTTGAAATTGAAAACGTGGGCCATCCAGACCTATGCAGTTAACTAACAGCGAGCTTTCTTTAACAATACCCAGTTGCCTGGGTCAGAATGGTCCGAGTAACAGATACCCCAAAAAAACCAGATCAGGTGTTGGACAAGACATAACCTCCTTAGACATGTGATTTGATTTTTACCCCCCCCCTTTTTTTTTTGGAGACGTTTTTGCTATAAGCACGTGCACTTGCCAGACAGACAGAGACAGAGAGATAGAAAGCAAGAAATCACCCGCCAGGGAGGATGGCCACGCCGCAATCCCTTCTCCTCCATTCTCCTCTCGGGATCTTGTGCACGCACGCACACGCGCTCGGTGTGAGTTCAAGCCACTGGGTCCAGGTCTCAAACCGCTTTCGACTACATGGGAGTCCAGCAACATAGCCATTACGCTAACTGCTGGTCCCAACCCCCCATTTTTTATTTTGCGTATTTTTTGAAACTTCTGAGAAGTTGTAAGAGTAAACAAACTTTCCTATATTTCTCACCTAGATTCAGCAATAATTGACATTTTGGTATATATTCCCTTTCTTCATCCCATCCAAACATTTTTTCCTGAACTGTTAAATCTGTTGCCGACATCATGTATCAAATAGGTAAGCGTGTATCTAAGAACAAGAATATTCTCTTACATAACCACTATTCTATTATCATACCTAACAAATTATCATTGCAATAAATGCTCTTATCTAATACACAGCTTATATTCAGTATTCAGATTTCTTTAGATCAGTAATGTCTTTCTTAGTTCACCTCTTTTTTTTTTTTTTTTGGTGGGGATAAGGAGAATTCAGGATCCAATCAGGGATCATAATACATAGCTGTTATGTCTTTGGTCTTTTAAAATCTATACAAGCTCTGCAGCATTAAAAAAAAAAAATCTAACATTTTTTCAGAGTTCAGGTTTCATGTTTTGTAGTATATCCATCAGTTTAGATTTGTTAATGTCTCTTTATGAAAAGACTTGGTTGAACCTTTTTGGCTACAGTACTACCGAGGTGGTGCTGTGTCTCAGTGCCTTGCACTAGGAAGCATGTGTGTTGGTTCTGCTGTTAGAGACTAGCTCAGCAAGACACATAGAGGTCTTCAGGACAACCATGAGATAGCTTTTGGCTCTGGCTGAGAGAAGCCCATGTCCCTTATCCCTGTCCAGTAGCAGAGTCCTCTAGTCAGACTCTGACTTTAAATACCCATTAGAGGGGTCAGCAGGTGGCATGGAGGTTAAGGCACTGGTTTCTATTAGGCTGGCTGTGCAGTTTGAGTCCCAGACCCAGCAGCTGGAAACTCACGCTAGGCATGTGTGCATACATGCCCCAAATCCCAAGATGGAGAAGGGATTATAGCATGAGTTTCTCCTCCGGGGTGATTTGTCACTTTCCCTCTCTCTCGCTTCATCTCCCTCCAAGGAGTGCATGTGGCCTATAGCAAAAACTAAATAAAAACAACCCAGTAGAAGTTACCTAGCTGTGGTCAAGTTGGAGCAGAGGGCTCACCACCCCCCAGCCCCTGCCTATTGGACTTTGCTACCCACTTTATTCTCCCAGAGGCGGATCCCAAAGGACAGGGATTGGCAAGCAAGGCCTTTTGGTGCTGAATCCATCCTTGTGTACTCCCATAGAAGAAGGCTATGATAGAGATTGGTCTTACCATTGAGAATAGATGAACTTAACACATATCAGTTATCAGAAAAGTCATGAAGTGTTTTTCTGTGCAAAGATATGTTGACTTCTGACAACCTAATAGAATAGGAAATCATATTCCAGGAGTACCACTGATGTGCTGAAATGGATCTGAGACACAGTGTTTTTCTCTTTGGCTATTGTATTAGTCTGACATGTTGGTGATTTCTCAGGTAACTAAGCATACAGCAATGACTCTGGGGGCTGCCGACAAAATGTTGATTAATGCTGTTCTAGGGCACATCTGCTAATAGGGGAGCATTCTTGGGAAGTCAGCCTTCTAAACCACAAAAAAATAAACTCATACTCACTATATAGAACCAGCTTTTATGGTGCTAAGAGCTTGAGTCTCTGAGTAGGAAAGTAGAGATAAATTATTCACTCACATGTATGCCCAGGGCACACATGCACGCACACGTGCACATAGAGCCTTCAGGTGTCGGAAGACACCTCAGCCTAGACCTGGGGATGGGAGAGTTACACTGGAGGAGTGGATATGAGCCTAGTATTACTTAGTCAGAAGCGTCTCTTGAGAATCAAGGGACCAGACACAGGAGTTGCCATCATTTTACAAGAAAAGCAGCAGGGTTGGGTTATAGGGAGGTTATAATTTAACAGAGACAGTTGGTAGGAATACTGAATAATCTCAAGAAAAGAGACCAATCTCCTGAGAAAGAGCAGGTGGAAATCTTCCTCCAGCTTGTCTCTTACTTCGCCCATGTGCTCCTGTGTTGTCCTTGGTCTTGGAGTCACTTCTGCAGCCTGGAAGGGGCCTTGTCATCCCAAGCTTTCCCATGAGCCTGGGGTACACAGCCCTGTGAGAAGAGGCTGAGGACCTACTCCCGTGCATGCAGCCAGCCTATGCACATTGCATGCCAGTCTCAAGGCAGGCACTGTAGCTTGGTGGTTTAAGAGCCATACTGCCTGAGGTCAGATCTGGGTCCACCACATACTTTTGCTGAGTCCTGGGGAAATTACTTAACATCACTGTGCCTCAGTTTCCTCATCCTTTGTGTGAGAATAATGAAAGATTAAATGAGTTAATCTGTGTAAAGGACTGAGACCAGTGCCCAGCACACATTAAGCCTGAAATAAATGTTATCATTTGTTCTCATTGTTCTCTGTCTAGGCTGTAGAGCATGGCAAGTCTCGGGGATCACGGGAGGACAGGCTATTGCTTAGACGAGGTTTCTAGCTCCAGGGCTAATATGGTCCTTGGCAGCTGACAGATAAATGTCGGGACTCTGAGCTGCACCCTGAAGGCTACTGTGGTTGTCCTTTAAACGTGCAGGAGACATCAAGTACAGGGAAAAAAACCTGCTCATAAGAGAATGGTGAAACGTCGTAGTTTTGGGCATAGAAAGTGTAGAATTTTATTTAAATTGATATCGAGGAAATTTCTTCAAAGTATAATGGAATTCTAGGGAATTGTTGACTTGCTACATATTTCTTGAACCTCTGCCTGGGCCAGACGGTCCTGGGCACTGGGAACGTAACATTTACTAAGGCTGGAGTCCCAGCCCTCATGTCACAAATGTTCTAGATGAGACAGGAAGTATATGAGCAAGGAAGAAGGGGTGAATGGCAACAGGTAAGTGTTGTAAACTGGTTTCTGTCCTTCCTCTGTCCATGTCCGACTCCTGCCCCTGAGGCAAGCATACTTTTGACTTAATGGTCTTTGTTTGCAGATGATCTCATCCCACCTTTGGACTTGCTTGAAATGATTGTCAACTGGATTTTTGAGGACCCAAGGTTGATTCTCATCACTTTTTTAAATACTCCGATTGCAGCTAATTTACCAATAGGATTTTTAGAGCTCACCCCGCTCATTGGATTGATTCGCTGGTGTGTGAAGGCCCCTCTGGCTTATAAAAGGAAAAAGAAACCCTCCTTATCCAATGGCCATGTCAATAACAAGGTTACAAAAGACTCAGGCATGGGGATGGACAGAGACTCACACCTCTTATACTCGAAGCTCCACCTCAGCGTTCTGCAGGTTCTCATGACGCTCCAGTTGCACTTAACCGAGAAGAATCTTTATGGGCGCCTGGGGCTGATCCTGTTTGACCACATGGTCCCATTGGTAGAGGAGATCAACAGACTGGCGGATGAACTGAACCCCCTCAATGCCTCCCAGGAGATCGAGCTGTCTCTAGACCGGCTGGCACAGGCTTTGCAGGTGGCCATGGCCTCAGGAGCTCTGTTGTGCACCAGAGGTGGGTGTATCCTCAGCCCAGGCCTCCTGCAGGCACTGACATCACCACCTTGGCAGAAAGAAAACAGGGGCTCTTAGGTGAACACTTTTTCTCCTAGTGATCACAGAAGGAGGGTAGAAGTTGCAGAACACGGGGCCGGCAGATGGTGTGGTAGTTAAGGGTGCTGGACTCCTACATGGCTGACCACATTTCGAGTCCTGGACCTGGTAGCTTGGTTTCTCGCTTGCTCTCTCTCTCCTCTCTCTCTCTGTCCCTCCCTGGTCAAATTTAAATAAATAAATAAATAAATAAAATAAAGTAAAATAAAATAATTCTTCACAAAAAAAAAAAAAAAAAGAAAAAGAAAGAAAAGAACATCCCCTGGTAATACCCTATCACTACCCTCCCTGTGCTTCATTATTAGCATCCTAACATGCTACAGATACGTGAGCATTGCCTGGCTCTTTTTGCTCAGGGCTGGGAACCCCTTGAGAACATAGATGATATTCCCCTTGAATCTTTTTTTTATCTCATGCGTCTTACTTTTTGAGGTATAATTTATGTATAATAAAATGTGTGGGTTGAAGTGCAGAGTTCAATGCACCTTGACAGGTGCATGCTCTCATGGAACGACTGCCCAATCAAGGTGGACAGTGTTCCATTACCTGTTTTCTTTTTTATTGTCAGGGGGTGCATGTTCTTGCCAGAAACCCCTCAATGGGGCATGGTCATGCCACAGTCCCTTCCCCTCTATATCCTTTTTATTTAAAAGAGATTTTTTTTGAGAGAGAGATTTTGCTATAGGGTGCATGCACTCACCAGAAAGACAGAGAGAGAGACAGAGAGACAGAAAGCGAGAAATCACCCTCCAGGGGGGATGGCCATGCTGCAGTCCCTTCTCCTCCATTCTCCTCTTGGGATCTGGGCATGTATGCACACACGCCCGGCGTAAGTTTAAGTCACTGGGTCCAGGACTCGAACCGCGGTCAACTACATAGGAGTCCAGCGACATAGCCATTACGCTAACTGCTGGTCCCTAAAAGAAATTTTTTTTTTTGAGAGGCTTTTTGCTATAGGGCATGTGTGCTCACCAGACAGACCGAGAGAGACAGAGAGACAGAAAACGAGAAATTACCCCCAAGGGGGGATGGCCACGCCGCAATCCCTTCTCCATTCTCCTCTCAGGATCTTGGGCATGCATGCACACGTGCCTGGTGTGAGTTTAAGCCACTGGGTCTGGGACTCGAACCGTGGTCAACTACGTGGGAGTCCAGCGACATAGCCATTATGCTAACTGCTGGTCCCTAAAAGAGATTTTTGCTATAGGGTACTTGTGCTCACTGGAAAGACAAAAAGCAAGAAATCACGACCCAGAGAATGGCCACACCAAAAGGTCCTTCTCCTCCATTTTCCTCTCATGGTTTTGGGCACACACACATACATGTGCCCGGCCTGAGTTTCAAGCTGTTGAGTCCAGGACTTGAACTACAGTTGACCATATTAGAGTCCAGTGCCTTTACCTCTGTCACCAGCTGGCCCTGCTCTTCTGTATGTTCATCCATTTGGGATTTTGGGCACACATGCATATGCATTGCACCTAGCATGTTTTTCATTTTCTTTTTTAATTTTTATTTATTATTTTTTAATTTGACCAGAGAGAGAGAGAGACAGAGAGGGAAAGTGAGTAAGCAAATCACCAGGTTCAGGGCTCAAACTGTGGTCAGCCATGTGGGAATTCAGTGCCCCAACCACCATGCCACCTGCTGGCCCTGTACCTGGCTTGTTTTTCAAGCTACTGGGGCCAGGATTTGAACCTTAGTCTGCTATGTGGTGTCTGGCTCCCATAACTACTGCACTGGGGGACCATCTTGCCATTGTCTGTTTTGAGAATTCTTTAACTCTTGCATTTCAACACTCACACTGTCTCTGGAGAAGGATCTAGAGCCAGTGACATGCTCGTGTTTGCTCTTTACTATTAAGAGTTCCTTGTAGCCCCAAGGGATGGTCACCGGTGGTGTTTCTCATCTTACTACTGCTTGTGGGGGTGGTGTGGGTTTCCTTCCTTCCTTTCTTTTTCTTTCTTTCTTTTAAGAGATTTTTGCTATAGGGCATGTGTGCTCACCAGAGAGACAGAAAGTGAGACATCACCACCCCAGGAGGAATGGCCACACTGCAATCTCTTCTCCATTACCTGTTTTCTCTCAGGATTTTCGGCATGCATGCACACATACCCAGCATAAGTTTTAAGCCTCCAGGTCTGGGACTCAAATCACAGTCAACCACATAGGAGTCCTGTGCCTTAACCACTATACCACCTGCTGGCCCCAGGACAGGTGTGGGTTTCTGATTGCTCACAGAGAGACCTGCCTTTGGGCTCTTTCTAAGCCATCTGACAAATTGCCGTCAGGGCTGTGAAGTGACTTCTATTTTGTGCCTAGGTTTTTGTTTGTTTGTTTTTTAAATTAGTTAATTTTAATTTGACCAGAGAGGAACAGAGTGAGAGAGAGAGGGAAAGTGAGAAAGCAAGAAGCAAGCCGCCAGGTCTGGGACTCAAACCATGCTTGGCCATGTAGGAGTGAAACCACCACACCATCTGCCAGCCCCTATGCCTAGTTTAGTAAAGCAAAAATTGAAGAAAGGGAAATAATTTTTTTCTTTTCATTCAGTGGTGGTAGATTTTTTTATTTTTTAACTTGCTACTATAGCACATGTTTTTACTAGAGAGAGAGACAGAGAGAGCAGGAAAGTGAGAAAGCATCCCTAGAGGGAGCCCTGACCATGCCACAGTCCCCTCTCCATTCTCTCCTTGGGATTTTGGGTATTCATGCACACGTGCTCAGTGTGTTTTTTTCAAACTGCTGGGTCCATGACTCAGTGCAGACAGCCGTGTGGGATCCAGCACCTGAATTACCATGCCACATACCTGTCCCGTAAACCAGTTTCTGAAAAATGTTATCTTTAAATATATATATTGTATACACACACACACACACACACATAAAATACTTATTTATTTTATTTTATTTATTCATTCATTTATTTTAATTTGACCAGAGAGACACAGCGAGAAAGAGAGGGAAAGTGAGAAAGCAAGCTACCAGGTCTGGGGCGCGAGTCACAGTCAGCCTTGTGGGAGTGTCCAGCGCCTTACCTACCATGCCACCTGCTGGCCCCCACTACTGCTATCTTGCTAGAGTCCTTTAAAAGAATGTCAGTGGACATTTCATTGTGTTGTCTTGAGTCTGTTACCTTATGTATCTCCTTCCTTCCAGATGACCTGAGGACCTTGTGCTCCAGGCTGCCCCACAATAAGTAAGTGCACTCTCAAGACTTCCAGCTGGGATGGCATTGCTGGGGTGGGGTGGGAGAGCCAGGTAGGCAGAGTAGGGCAGATTGGCCCCTTTGTCCTGGGTTCCTGGGTTAGAGTTGGTCTGCTGGGTCTAGAGCTGTCTTCTAAGGAGTCCCTCAGGTGTTATATGGGGAATGGATATGATCACACAAGCCACGTGAGAGGAACCATAAGTAAGAAGAAACAAGAGAAAGTAGTTCTCTTACTGGGGGTCCAGGAAGAAAGCCAGAGCACTCTTCAGGTATCACTGAGAGCTCACAAAGTTAGCGTGCATCTCCTTCGTGGTGTGGTTAGTGCACTGGTGCTCTGTGGGTGGCATTGTGAAGCTCTGCAGTCACAGCCCTAGAGCTCTGTGTGTGCGTTACGCTACCACTTGGCCATTGGGCAGCATGGACCCAGGTTCTGAGCACAGTTCTGTCTGTGATTTCTGTGGCTCTTGGGCAGTCTTTCTACCTGTCTCTGAGCCTTGGATTACCCCTTATAAAATGGGGGACAAGACTATTGCCTGCCTCACAGGGTAATAGTGAGAGTGAAACAAGCATGGTGCCTGCTGCATGGGAACTGTCCTGTAAATGCATCATCATTTACAGCTGGAAACTGTGGTCCCAGGGCCCTTAAGAGAGTCTCAATCTCGCTTTTCCTGTCTTTATGAACTTAGGCAAGTCCCTGTCTTCTGCTACCTCAGGTTTCTCATAAGCGGAATCAAGAAAGTCATTGTACTCTCCTCACATTCCCATGATCTCCCCCCACCTCCTGCCTTAGGATTTTTGTGAGGGTTAATTGAGGAAAAGCACTTAAAACAATACTTGGTATAGAGTAAGTATTCAGTAAGGCTTAGCTGCTGTCGCTGTTCTTTTAGTAACTTGAGGATGTCCCCTCTGTGAATTTGTCCCTAGAAAGGGAAAAGGCTATGTGCACAAAATACTTTATGTGAACAGTATTGTTAGTAACAAAAAGCTGGAAGCTACCTGACTACCCCAGAACATAGGGGTACTTAGTTAATTAGTTGTGATACATCAGAAGGAAGAATGTTATGTATCCACTAAAAATAGTAGTTGTGACTACTATGCAAGAAAATGATTATAGGCAACTCCCTGCACGTGGAGAGGGTTTATAGAAATGAAAACAAGTGGGCTAAGTTAGGATTAGTGATGTCCATCTTTCTTCAAACCATCCTCTTTTTTTTTTTTTTTCTTAATTTTGCTCTATAGTATGTGCACTTGCTGTAGTGGAGCAGGGAAGAGAATCCCCCAAGGGAGATGGCCATTCTGTAATCCCTTCTCCATTTTTCTCTTGGGCTTTTAGGCACGCACATGCATGTACCCAGAATGTTGATCGAGTTGCCAGGTAGTTGCACTTGAACTGTGCAATCTACCATGTGGGATCTAGCCACTCTAACCACCATACCACCTCCTGGCCCACTTCAGACCATCCTTAACAAGGAGTTGAGGTGTTCTAGTGCCAATGTTGGCAGGCAGCATGCTCAGAAGGGGTCCAGATTCATCTTTCTGTAGGTGGATACCCAGTTTTTCTAGAACTATTTGTTAAAGAGATTTGCTTTTTCCCACTGGATTGATTGACTGGTGTTCTTTGTCAAAAATCAGTTGGCTGTACTCCTCGTCTCTTTTCTGTTAATTTTCTTAACTAGACTGGAAACTTCTTGAAATGTTTTTTGTCTCCAGCAGGGTAGGGTGTGCAGGGTCAAACACACCCATAACCTAAATTTTACTTCTATAATATTCCTTGGGTTCATAAAACTTTTCATCGAATTTCTTACTCAGTTATTTTAAAAAAAGAAATAGTTCAACAACAACAAAAAGAAACCAAAAAAAAAAAAAAAACCCAAACAACAACAAAAAAGAAATAGTAATGTAAATGAAAAGGTTCACTAGACTGCATCAGCTTTCCTCATGCCACAGCTTACTGCCCACGCCCCTCCTGTGGGCTCTGCGCATCTTTGTACTGGGGGGTGGGGTGGGTGAGGGTCAGTCTGTGACAACCCAGCCCCTTCTTCTTTTTTCTTTTATTATGCTAGAGGATGTGTGTGTGTGTGTGTGTGTGTGTGTGTGTGTGTGTGTATGTGTGTATGCACCAGAGTGGCTGGAGGGCTGGCAGGCGGCATAGTGGTTAAAGCTCTGGATTCCCACATGGCCAACCATGGTTCGAGTTCTGCACCTGGTAGCTTGCTTTCTCACTTTTCCTCCTCTCTCTCTGGTCAAATTAAATAATAATAATAATAATAATAATAATA